TGGGAGGGCACGGGGGGTTGCCCCTGGATTTGTGCTGGGTGAACTAGGCAGGCTGCAGCACTGTGCTCGGGGTGGGCGGTGGTGGCGCTGGGAGAGGGGCTACAGGGGGGCTGCAGCCACCCCAAATTTTGCTGTAGCACTCCCCATAGCCTCCCTCCCAGTGCTGCTGCCACCTGCCCCGAGTGTAGTGCAGTGTGGCCCCTGGCCCAGCCTGCAGCTGCAGCCTGCTCAGCCCGCCCCACCCTGTGCAGATCCACTCTGTACACACCCCTTCCCCTGTCTCCTCCTGGACGACCGGCAGGAACTGCCCCCAGGACAAGCCACAGCTCTGTCCCATGCCTGCCCTGCCCCAGCTGGGCCATGCCTGTCCCTGCCCTAGCCCCACTCCCTCCCTCACCACGGGGGGGCAGGGGGGTATTGATCTGCGCCCCCCATGCACCTTCCTCCCCCTCCCCTTTCACCACAACAGACTTACCAGCTGCACGCAGCTCTCCACACTTCCAAGCTGTGCTCCTTGCCACCTGTGTGCTGCGCTGTGGCTGTGCTCGTGTACGGGCATTTATCTGCCAAATAATTGGCCACATAGGCCGATTTCCAATAAAGTCCATTTTCTTTGTATTGGTGATAATCGGATATCGGACCAATGTATCGGTGCACCTCTAATTTTTAGATGTTCAAAACCTGACATACTACAATGTTTTATATAATACAGAATGCTATGCTAATATATGATTGTGTACCTATTTTTTACAGTAGTTCTAAATTGAGACCAGAAACTTTATTAAGTGCATGTACTAGAAATGTTGATTTCCTCTTTCCTTTTTAGAGATTGCTTGGCATTTTGTACAGAACCAGTCTTTGCAAGTTTAGCTAATGTTCTTGGCTGCTGGGACAACCTACCTTCTCCTTTACCATCTGACATTAAGGAATATAAACTTTATGATGTGGAAATGAAATATGGCTTGCTTCAGGTACTTCAATTATCTTTACAATATTTTGCCCCTCTTGTATTCAGTGCTGCCAGTTACTGTTTTAGATGGGCCTTAATCTAGCTAGCAGTTGTACACAAACTTAACTCTACATACATGAATCATTCTGGGTTACTATAAGTACATATGTAACTTTTTAAAGGATTGGAATTTAATAATTTGTCTGAATTTGATATCAGCGTTAGTTAGGAATTACTTCTTTAAAAGCACAAGTTATTTGTGAGAGAGTTTAGGATTTGTAAATTAAAGTCTAAGTGAGCTCAGTTCCTTTGATTAAAATGTAGTTGTTCCAATGCACACCTGTAAATATTTAATTTGCTTGAAGTATTATTTATAATGAAAGCATCTGAACATCGCCTATGCTTTAATTAATTCTTTAATTAAGAGTTTATAATTTTTATAGCATTTTAATTTTGAACAAATGCTAGTTTAAAAGATTTCAAAATCAGGCTGTGTTTTTAAAATTAGAAAATTGTGTGGGTCATAATGTTTGATCAACTAATTTGAAGACTGCTATTGAGACTCATAGAAAATTAATTTTGAACAAACTTTACAGTGTTCTTTGAAAAGGTTAGGAAATGGCCAGATTAAACTACCAGAACCAATATCAGTTGTGGATATTAAGCTGTGTGGAAAGTACTAGCTTCTAAAGAGCATATTCTACATGAAATAATTATAAGGAGAGAGACTACAATGCTTCAAAGTCCTGTTGTAAACAGAAGTGATGGCTACCAGATGGAATGCTCTAAATTGCTACTATCTCTGCTCATCCTTTCCTGAAAAAGTGAAAATGGATTAATACATTTATCTTTCTTGTTGGCTTTTCCCTTTTTTTAGAAGATTGGTGACAATTCCCACTCTTAGGGGTATAGCTTTTTGGTTTCTTTACCTTTTTCAACAATATTTAAACATATGACACATTTAAATATATGTTGTATTCATTTCCTTTGCCATTCCACTCCCACCTTGATCTAGCCAGTGTTCCGTCTTCACATACAAATTCTGTCCCTCTGCCCTGCTTGTTCCCATCCTCTCCCCTCCCCGCAACCACACATATGTAGGTTTTTACCTTCTTTCTGTTGCCACTGCTTTCCTATGTGCTTGGAAAGCCCTCCGTGTCTGAGCGCTCTGGTCCTATCTCCCTGTCTTTCCCTTCTTGCAACCGATTAATTAGGCAATTGCTCCTTCTCCTCCCCACCACCTTCTGTTCATTTTCCCTTTTTCTGTTAAAGTGATCCACTACTGCCTGCCTCATTCTGTCGTCATCTAATGTGTAAAAAATAAATAAATAAAACAACTAAAAACCCTAGTAATGTGCAGGCTATTCTACTTGCACCTTTCCTCTTGCTGAAGCTACAGAGGCACATAAGCTCTTCTGCATGCTTTTCTTTCCTTCATTTCTTCAGAAAGAACGAATGGCTACCTGTTTCTATTCAGTTTATTTACCTGGTGCATGTTCTGCTCATCCTGGATAAGTTCTTCCTTCCACTTTCCCAAATCCTGTGATCAACATTAGTAACTTCATAAATTAGTTTACCAGCTGCTTATCATTTGCTTGAGATGCACTTACAATTCAACTAACATTGCTGAAAATGTATCCTTTTAGTGGATTTAGATTGAATGGTTTTAGCTAATGTGCCAATTTATCTTTGACCAGAGGAAGTAAGAGACTGATGTCCTAGTGTCATACATATTTTGCAAGCATTTGAAAGAACGTGGCAAAAAGCCCTTGATTTTAATTAATTAATTAATTAATATTAATGCTGGAGGCAGGGATTTTTGTTGGCGATACCTTTTATCGGATCAGCTGTATGGTTGCATTGCATTCCAGTACTACTACCTATCTTTATTAACAGGTTTCTGAAGGTTTGTCCTTTCTGCACAGCAGTGTGAAAATGGTCCATGGAAATATCACTTCTGAAAATATAATTTTGAATAAAAGTGGAGCATGGAAAATCATGGGATTTGATTTTTGTATCCCGTCAACAAATCCTTCTGAACAAGAGGTAATGGGGCTCTTATTGTTGTCCACTGTTTATTTTAAATGCAGATTTTTGTCTGAAACAGGCTGCATGAACTACAGATTGCTCTAGCTCCTTCATGTCGTGGGCTCGTGATTCTCTTTTATGGAGTCAGAGACTATAGATTCTAGTAGTCCCTTGGAGTAAGCAGATGGGGGAGGGACGGGGAATGCCTTGCACTTTGAAAATGAGTTTGTTTTCATCCTTGTGCCACTACACATTTGTTGTAAAACCACTCTACACTTCACATTTTTTTGTTGAAAAGAAATACAGGAGTGAATTAATTGAGGGGGACTAAATACTTCAGGGAATTAGTAACAGGACGTAGAGATTATACCTCTGCAGAACACGCAGTGTAAATCCATTGATGGGGTAGAACAGGAGGTCATCCAGCCCTCCTCCCCTTCCCCTGCAGTGTTGCTTTTTAGGGCTTCAGGTCACCAGCCAAACTTTGCATGAGGATGAACCAATATCAGCACAATGGGCAGGTCTGCTGTCCCACCCCTCAGTGCAGTGTGGATGAGATGGCTTGATACCCTTTCTTCAGATGTAAGTTCAAGTTCATAAAGTAAGAAGAGGCGTTTCATGTAACAGTTTATTCCAAGATTTAATTGCTACCTAAATATATAAGTGGTTTAAAATTTTCATTACAGTCTGTAATTCTAAATCTCCGTACTTTGGCATAAGGTCTGCCACAGGGAGAGCAAATCTACTTAGTTTTCATAGGCTGACTTTGAGTTTTGCTTCATTCTTTTCCCATTTGGCTCCTGGTAAGTCTGAAGTAATTTGGTAACTGATCACTGCTGATTTGAGTTGCTTATTTAAATTTCAATTTAAACATTTTAATCTGTATATTCTTTCACTGTTTGTTCTTGCAGCTGAAGTTCCCTTGCAAAGAATGGGACCCAAACTTGCCATCCTTGTGTCTTCCAAATCCTGAGTATTTGGCACCTGAATACATTCTTTCAGTGAGCTGCGAGACAGCCAGTGACATGTACTCCTTAGGCGCTGTCATGTATTCAGTTTTTAATAAAGGGAAACCGATTTTTGAGGTCAACAAGCAGGATATTTATAAAAGTTTCAGTAGACAGCTGGATCAGGTATTTGCTATACTTGTGAATGCTTTACATTTTACCATAAGGAGTTTTCTTATTCGCTCTGTGTTTAAAAGCAGTTACTATTTAAAGAAGAAATGAATATCTCAAGCTCAACATCCAGTTTAAAATAGTTTAAATTTACAAGGCAAATATGTTACCTTTAAAAAAAAATCAGCTTTACAAAATTTTAATCATAAAAATAAGCAAACATTCCAAATGCCTGGATTAACTGCAGTACTGATGTTCTGCTCGGCTCCTTTATGGGCCAGTGTTAGCGTGTTCATGTAGAATACATTTCTGATGTACCAGTCTTCCTGTGCATGGAGCAGACAGATTAGCAGTGTCTGACTCAGTTCTTTGTTAGGAGGTAGGGAGAGCCACTGAGCATAAAAGCTCACCCTAGAGGTCAGAACGGGATCTCTTCCACCAGTAACCAGGAAGTGAAGAGAGTCATGCCACCTTTTCCTGTATTCTTCTCAGCAGCGGTGTGTCAGGGACATGCTGTCTCTCCAGCAGGCAGGGGAGGTGGAGAAAAAAATTAGTGTCTCTTCAGTTGAAGGATGGGAAAGAAGAGAATTAGTTAGATGGATATACCTTGTAACATGTCACATGTAATGCTGCCTCATGGTATTTGGATCATAATGCAATGGTAGGATGTAATTGTTTAAATGGATTTTGGTGACTATATGTGATGACTAAATGGCTTTGGCCATTGAAAGTGAGTTACACAAATCTACAGATTTTAAACACAAGATTTTTTTAAAACCAGTACTAATTTGCTTCAGTACTGTAACAAAAAGGGTAGAAGGGACCATACCACAAGCATTTATTTTCATACTTTCATTTATCAAAATGAAATATTACAAAACTTGCCTTTCATTGTAAGTAAACCAAACGCTCATCTGGAGGACAAAAATATATACTCTTACAAGAACTGTAATGAAGCTAGTTATATGTAGGATTTTCTTTATTTATGGTGCATACCCTTGAATTATTTATGCAGCTAAGTCGTTTAAGCTCCGGCACTCTTCAGAATATACCGGAGGAAGTTCGTGAACACATAAAGCTACTGTTAAATGTAGCTCCTACAGTCAGACCAGATGCAGATCAAATGACTAAGGTCAGTGTACAGCAATCACTGTAGTTTCAAGAAATGTGTTAAATAATCATTGATTTTTTGTAATTAATTAATATAGCCACTGAGGGGAGGGTGGGGTTTAGCTGTTGTCTCTTCAGTTGAAGGCTATTATCTACAGTGCACCAATTATTTTTTGTTTTGTGATGACTTACCTTTTTTTATGAAAATGAGCACCTGTTTCCAGTACTTGGTAAACAGAAACAATCCTCTCATAGTCTTGCATGAGGTGCACACTTGTTGTTTTTCAGCTGCCTGTAAAAGACTCTCACTAAAATGTTTTACTTCCTTTTATAACATTGAAATTTAAAATACTGGGAGGCTCTTAAGGCTGTAAAGTGAAATGGTCAGCAATCAGGAAATGTAAGAGTTGCCCTGACTTAACTGCTTGTTAAATATGCTTGGGTATAACTGAAAATATATCTGGAGCATCTCTGCCCAAGTTAGTTATGATGTAGTAAATGAGCCATGGGTTAAGTATTCTTACAACTACAGTTTTAGTTTTTCAAACCTATCATCTGCTTTTTCAACATGATGGCAGGGTTTGGAAATGAGTGCCATGATGGCTACCTTGCTTTCTAAATCTGTTCCTGTTTGTAGAATGGTATCGCTCATTATTTTTCCTCATGGTCTCTTGCATAAAAAGGAATTGGGAGCCTTGAAGACTTTTAGAGGAGTGGGCCCCCATCAGCGCCAATTCTTCCCTACCACTTGCCCCTCTGCTGTCTGCTCACCTCCCCCTGCCACTCGTTACACCCACCATGACTATGTCCCCCACCCCTTGCTCCTCCTACTGTCTACTACTCTTGCAGATACGACTGCTGCATCCTCCCTCCCCCTCCTGTCCCCCCAGCTGCTGCTTACTCTACAGTTCCAGCCTTCCTGTAGCAGTGGGCAACAGCCAGAAGGGGGGCAGAGACAGTGGGTGAACAGTGGCTGTGGTCCAACCTGGACTCAAGATGAGGGCCAGAGTTAGAGCTGCAGCAACAGCCTGCTTCGCACCCCCCCTTGCCCAACTCAAATCTAAGGAAGTGGGCCTTTTCCATATATTACATATGGGATAAAACCTTGCCTTGAATGTGTTTAAATATGGTATGTAAAAATTTACTTTTTCTATTGTTAGTTGCAGCCACTTAACTGTAAAAGTTTGATGTCTAGTGCATTTGAGAAGGTGAATATATAATTGTACATGTGGTATATTTATAATAGTATTGACAGTGGTTTCCCACCAAATATCACACTTTTTATATTTTTATTTTAGATACCCTTCTTTGATGATGTTGGTGCAATGACACTACAATATTTTGATTCTTTATTCCAAAGGGATAATCTTCAGAAATCACAGTTTTTTAAAGGGCTGCCAAAGGTTCTGCCAAAACTCCCTAAGGTACGTTTTCTTGAAGCGAAACTGAAATAAAGACTGAAGAAGGTCATGTCTGTAGGCACTCTTAATATTCTGAAAGTAAAAATGTTGGAGTCTGTACCAGTTAGTGCAACAAAAAACTGTATAGAAGGGTCATCAGAACAGAGTAAGACAGGCAGACATGAGGAACTCCAATTTAATGGAAGCATCCTGCAGCTTTCAATATGCCTGGAAAGAGAGAAGGAAATGGCAGTGTTGAGCTCTCATCCTAGCAAAATTTGCCTTGGTGCCACCGCTTACCATCCTCTTCCTGTAGTCATTGTTTGGATCAGTCACACTGCTTTACAGACCCTTGCTACATGACTGCGAAAGTTGTATCCTCCCCATACATTAGGACTGACTGAGCTCTTTGCAGAGCCACTCAATAGTTCTCTGCTCTTCAGCGATTATAAGCTTTCATCCCTTGAGGGATTTAGCTCACCATTATGGCAATACTCACAGACAATCTAGAGAGTGAGTCTTTCTGTCTAAATTTCTTCTATATGGTAAGTCAGGCCATGACTGGACTAGTCCTCTTCCCTTGTGTGTTATCATATATTTTATGGTTGTGAAACATAAAGCAAGAAAAACACTTGTTTACTGTTCTTCATATTCAAATTAACTTTATTTTTGAAGTATACAGTATAAAGCTCTAGTGTAGGAAGAGCTCTTATTTAATAGTGTATTTTCTAAAACAGCAACTCTTTTTCCCATTGGTTAAATAATGTTGTGACACTTTGGAGTTGAGCGAAGTCTCCAAAAATTTTGCGGCGGGTGGTAGAAGGATACAGGGAAGATCATAGGATCGTAGGATATTAGGGTTGGAAGGGACCTCATGAGATCATCTAGTCCAGCATCCTTCTCAAGGCAGGACTCGACTTTAAGTTTTCCCTGCCTCCTTTGATCACGTTACATTAACTTAAATAGCTTCCACTCAGACTTCTGGTATGATTATCATTTTGGTAGCTTAGCATATGCTTATTCATACTAGGTACTTCTTCAGGATTCTCATGAGCTGATGAAGTAGGTGCAAAAGCTAGAGGAGGAGGAGGTGTCTAGGTGTAAGAATGCATTTTTTTTCCTTTGCAGAGAAACATACGTATTGTGTAACAAATTGTAGATTCCTTCAACAGATTAATTTTACACTGATAAAACTTTTTATAGTCTTTAGGAAAATACATTACATGGTTTAAGCCTGGTTTAATCATATGGCCTGCAGGTGAGATCCAGACTACAGAGCCCTGTGATCTGGCATAATGTGAAGCCAGTTGGGTATGCAGGCTAGACCCCCTAGTGCACAGGAGGTTCAGTCCAGGGTACATGCTGTAAGCAATGTCCACCCCAAACTAGCCCTCCGTGTTAGCTCTGGGGCTGGTCCATATCTGGCTATGCCAAAGCTGGCACACAGGGACAGTCTGGCGAGGCAATATGTTCTCTGTGCTGGGCCTGTCCTGAGCAGTGTGCGCCCTGTGCATGCCATGTACAGCACAATCTGGCCCTGCTCCAGGGCTCGTTCTGCATATGATGCATGGGGCAGGCACAGGTCACATACTGTGTGGGGTGCCTTGCTGAACCAGGCCTGCATGCTGGCTCCAGTGTACGTGGGTGGCCTGGGGGCTGAATCTGGACTAGCCCCAGAGCCAACACACAGGTCTGATCTAGCAAGGCATCTCATGTAGACCGTGTACCACATGCAGAGTCAGCTCCAGAGTGGGAACAGCATATGCTGCATGTAGGACTGGACCAGCTTTGCATGCACCTGCACAGGGGACCAGCACAGGCATAGCCTGATATGGCCCATGGACTGGCCCAGCAACCCTCATTCAGCAGGTAGTATATGACTTTATCTGAAATAGTCTTTAGCTAGAATTTACAATTAATTGGCTTTTTCTTGGTTTCTAAAACAGTTGTCTGAGCTTGAACGTGTAACAGGCAAATACAAACATACTAATGCTTCAAAGAGTAAATTGAAAGTATTTTTCAGATCTGATTACTGTTTGTGCCTTACTTTTTAAATGTAAGAAAACAACACTTTGAATTAAAATTGGAATCTTACTGCTTTACAATGCAACATAACATATCTTTTTTTTTTTTCTTAGCGTGTTATAATCCAGAGAATTTTGCCTTCTTTGACCTCAGAGTTTGTGAATCCTGATATGGTACCCTTTGTTCTGCCTAATGTTCTTCTGATTGCTGAGGAGTGCACCAAAGAAGAGTACATCAAGCTCATTCTGCCTGATCTTGCCCCTGTTTTTAAACAGCAAGAACCAATCCAGGTACACAAATAGAATTTCAGCAGCTTTTTTTAACCAGAGCTTTCCTTGGAAGAAACCCTATCAGTCTGTTTCCTTGTTCTAATTCTCTACAAATTTAGTCATCTTGGCTCTATAGTTATCTAGAGACAGCAGTTTTAAGTAAGCCACGAACAATTTTTAGAAAATTTGCAGATTGAGGGCACATATACACAAGCACGGAGGCTGCTTCAACATGCTGGAATTCCAGCATGTTGGAACGGACTTGATTAATCAAGTCTGCTGGAGCATGAAAATTACCATGCTCCAGCAGCCTCCTACATCTTACGTATCAGCATCCCCATGCTTAAAAATGGTGGCAGGCATGCTTGAAGGCTCTGAGGGCTCACTGAATGCCCTCAGAGCATGTGTAAGAATGGCCTCAGTTTTCTTTAGTACACTTGCCTTTGACTCTATCAGTGCAGGAACTACTCCAAGTGAACACACTTAGCACACGCTGGCCGCATCTACACAGCGAAGAGATTGCACGTGGCTGTAGAGGACAGGCGGTAGATGGGGACACATGGTTGTGGGGCAAGGAGTGGGGTTCAGGCTGCATGCATCCTCTGCTACTGCTTTCCCCACCACAGCAATGGAGGAGGATAAATTTAAGATGAGTTTCCAATAATTAACTTAGACTCTATGCATGGAAAATTATAACCAATTTATACTTTTCTATATATAGAATCTGCTTATTGGGGGATCAAAGTTGTGTTGTATTTGAGTAAACACTAACTTCTGTAGATAGTGGAGGTTGCTCATATGCATCTAAGAGGAAGAATTTTACTCAAGGTTTCTTGGAAACCAGGTATTTTGTATAATAGTATGTAAATAAGTGATTTATTTGTCCATTTTTGGTGTAATGGAATGTAACCAAAGACTGTTTTGTAATTGGGAGCCAGAATCTACTAGCCTTGATATTTTTCCCCCCCTCCCCAGTCCCCCAAATCATTCTAGAATATGTTTGATTTGTTTAATTTTTGTTTCCTGTTTTAAAAATGTAATAGCATACCCAGGTGTATTTTTTGTCTTCCATGCCTTCAGGCTAGCAACATGGTGAGTGTCACAAGAAAACTAATGTTTTTAAAATATTTGTAATAAACTTCATATGGAAAGTGTGATGTTGCCAGAAGTAAAACCTGTAATATCTGAAGTGTTTTTTCCCTATAGATTTTACTGATTTTCCTGCAAAAAATGGACTTGCTACTAACCAAAACTCCACCAGATGAAATAAAGAACAGTGTTCTACCAATGGTTTATAGAGCCTTAGAAGCACCTTCAATTCAGATTCAGGTGCAGTAAATGCTCTATCTCTTTAATATTGTTTAAAATGTTATTTCCTCTTTTGCTTTTGAAGGAAACTTTCAATTTCTGTCACTAAATTGTTACTCTTAGAAGAGGACCTTCATGCCTTTTCAATATCTCTTAAAGCATTTGGATTAATACCACTGCATGCTGTGGGAATCTTTTTCCTGTTTACGAGGAAAAAAATCACTTGGGCAGCTGTGTTTTATTAACAAGACAGCTGTGCTTTATTAACAAGACAATTTTCCGCCAAATGAACATCACTAGTGTTAGAGTGATTGTTACCAGTTTAGGCTGGTTGCCTAAATAAGTATTTACTTTCTATTCATACCTTATTATTCTTCTGATTTAGCCCCTTGGAATTTACCCTTATTTCAGGCATACAATTATGCACATATCTCTCTAAGGAGAACTGGATACACAGACCATTGGAAAATTTCAAAGCTAATGATCCCAGCCTAGAAACCTTTAGAAAGCCTACAAGTCTAGAAATCATGAGGGAAAGTAATGGATAATTTGGCTGATGAGAAGTTTCTTTTAGCTAGCATATGGTTAACCAGGTTTTACTTGTCTTAGTGATATTTTTATATCATTCATAGAAGTTACACAAATTAGATTTTTCTTAAATGATTAAATGTGTAATGCTTGTTTGACAGTTTAGATTTTGGTACTTGTTTGTGCTTCTTCACAGAGTTGTTGATGTGCATTTGTTTTGTTTGGTATGTTATAGAGAAAATATTTTTAAATACTTTCATCACAAGTAACTTTTCAAAGAAACTTTTTCACAAAGCAGTCTTTCATGAAATGCAAGATGTTCTTGTTATCCAAATATTTTGTAGTAACCACTAATCTACCCTTTTGTTTTTCAAAAACTCGTCCTCAAATTTTATCCTAACTAGTTTTAAACTGGAAGTTAGAAATCAGCACTAGACTACCTTAATTAATTTCCTTGAAGGGGTGAAATTGAGATACATTAACTGATTGTTTAGAGTATATTTTACTAGTTTTGAATTGAAATGCATTTTTAAAAACTAATATGGTATATGTTTCTTTACAGGAACTTTGCTTAAATATAATTCCCACATTTGCTAACCTAATAGATTATCCATCAATGAAAAATGCATTAATACCAAGAATTAAAAATGCATGCTTACAAACTTCTTCTCTTGCCGTAAGTAAACTGGTGTTTCTGATCTGTACTTTTCACACCCCAAAATACTGAAAATTGTGTTTAAAAATCATTTTGGCTTTTCTGTTTTATTTTACCATTATCAAAAGCCCAGAGGAAGGTAATCCCCAGGAGGGTCAAAGGGG